CCTCCTCGCCCCAAAAAGTGTAGCAGGAGCTGCATTAGAAACTGTAGGCCCAGATGTACAGGAAACTGTACTGCTGGCTATGGTAAAATCCGAAGTAAGAGCTGTAATAATGAGGGCGCGCCGCTGGATGACCCCAAGGGGTGGGTGGGTGGGGACCCCCCCCCACCCTCCCCCCTTCCCCGATCCGTCGTCGGGGACCCCCCCCCTCCCCTTCTTTCCGGGTCCGTCGTCGGGGACCCCCCCCCTCCCCTTCTTTCCGGGTCCGTCGTCGGGGACCCCCACCCCCCTCCCCCCCTTTCAAAATGGGGGGGTGGGGTCCGAACCCCTCCTCCCCCCGCCAAATTCGACCCCGCCCCTCTCCCCCCCTTTCGCCACGGCGCCACCGGTCTCCGGAACCCGAGTCCTACCACCCCTAACACTTATCCTCACCCTTGCCCTAACCCGTAACCCTAAACCCAAACCCAAACCCTGACCCCAAACAGTACTTACCCATTACGCACTACTCACTACCCACAATTCACTACTCGCTATTCACAACTCACTTCTCGCTACTCATTACTCACGACTCACTACCCACGGCTCACTACCCACGACGCACTACTCACTAGTCCCTACCCACTACTCACTACTCACTACCTACTACTCACTACTCACTACCCACTACTCACTAAACACAACTCACTACAAACTACTCGCTAGTCACAAATCACTACTCGCGACACACTAACCAGTACCCACTACTCACTACTCACACTTCACTACTCACTACTCACTGCCCACAACTCACTACTCACTATCCAGTACTCGCTACTCCCTACACAGTCATCGCTACTAACTACTCACTACTCGCTACTCCCTACGCCCTACTCGCTACCCAATACGCACTATTCACTACCCACCACTCACTACTCACTACGTTCCCACTACTCACTACTCACTACTTCCTACTCCCTACTCACTACTCCCAACTCACTACTCACTACCCAGTACTCACTATTCTTTAAACGCTACTCACTGCCCACTACTCAGTACTCACTAAGCACTACTCACTACCCACTAACCACTATTTACTACTGAGAACTCACAGTTCACTAATAACTATGCGTTGCCCAGAACTCACTACTCACTATCCGCTACTCGCTACCCAATAGGTCATACTCACCACCCACTACGCACTACTCGCTACTCACAACTCACTACTCCCTACCTCCTACTCGCTAGTCACCAGTCGCTACTCACTACTCACTACTCCCTACTCACACTCACTGATTTCTACTCGCTATTCCCTACTCACTACCGACTACTCAATACCCGCTTCTCGCTTCTCACTTCTCACGATTCACTACCCACTACTCCCTACTCGCTGCTCACAACTTACTACTCACTACTCACTACTCGCTACTCCCTACTCGCTACCCGCTACTCCCTACCCACTCCTGACTACTCCCTCCTAACTACTCACTACTTACCACGCCCTACTCGCTACTCACCACTCACTACTCGACACTCCCTACTCGCTACTCCCTACTCGCTTCTCGCTACTCTCTACCCACCACTCATTACTCACTACTCTCTACTGACTGCGCACTACTCACTCCTGACTACTCACTTTCGCTATTCGCTACTCTCTATTCCCTCATCCCTACTCCCTGCTTACTACTCACTATGCACTACTCACTACACACTACTCACTCCTCACTACTCACAATTCCTTACTCACTACTTCCTCCCCACTACTCACTACCCACTACTCAGTACTCACTACCCACTAATATCTACGCACCACTCGCTACTCACTACCCCCTACCTCCTACTCACTAGTCACCAGTCGTTTCTGACTACTCACTACTCACTACCCACTACTCACTATTTTCTTCTCGCAATTCCCTACTCACTACCGACTACTCAATACCCACTTCTCGCTTCTCACTTCTCACTAATCACTGCTCCCTACTCACTCCTGACTACTCACTAATAGCTACTCCCTACTCGCTACGCACTACTCCCTACTCACTATTCGCTACTGACTCCTGGCTACTCCCTCCTCACTACTCACTGCTCACAACACTCTACTCGCTACTCGCTACTCACTACTCGCCGCTCCCTACTCACTACTCCCTACTCGCTACTCGCTACTATCTACTCGCCACTCACTACTTACTAGTCTCTACTGACTGCGCACTACTCACTGCTCACTAATCACTTTCGCTATTCGCTGCTGTCTACTCCCTCATCCCTACTCCCTGCTTACTACTCACTATGCACTACTCACTACACACTACTCATTCCCCACTGCTCACAACTCGTTAGTCACTACTTCCTTCCCACTACTCACTACCCACTACTCAGTACTCACAAATATCCACGCACTACTCCTTACTACCACTACCCACTACCCACTACTCACTACTCACGACTCACTGCGCTCTAACTATCAAATACCCGCTACCCACCCATCGCTACCCAAAGCACTCTACTTTCTACTCACTACCTGGGAGGCCCCCTCCCCAGCCCTCTGTTCGGCGCAAAGGGGAGGGGGGGGGGGGCGGTTCGAACCCCCGCCCCCCCTTCAGGGGGGGAGGGGGGGGGGTCAAAAATCTCACCGTCTCTTTGAAAGGGGGGGGGGGGGGGGGGGGGGTTCTGCGAGCACCCTCCCCCTTTAGTGTATTCAGGGCCATCCGCTGGCGCGCTTTCTGTAATAATCGCTGTCGTAAGGACAATGCTAAGACCGGCAGTGGGAGCTCCGATGGGGGCTGTAATATTGGCTGCAGTAAGAACTGCGGAGCGACCTGTTGCAGAATATGTGCTGGGAGCCAATCGTAATGTTTGTAGTGGGGGCTGTGCTGCCGAATATAGTAGGGTCTGCAATGAGAATTTCCCTGATGGCTGTGCCACGGAACTGTTATAGAAACTGCCTTAAGATAGGCAGTACACATTATATTGCGCCCTGTAGTGAGAGCTGTACTAGTGGCTGCGCGAAGGGCAGCATCAGGAGCTTCAGTGGCAGACGCATTAGCAGCTGCATTGGGATCTGTACCAGTGGTCGCAGTCAGTTGATAGTTTAGTGCGCACCTTCGTAGATACAGCATTGGCATCTGTACTGCTGGCTGTCGTGTAGATTACAATAAGCGACGAATTCGGACCTTTAATCGGATTTGAAGATAAACGGTGGTAGGATAGCACGTGACGTCGTGAGAACTGTACTGGTTGCTGTGTCAAGGAGCTGATATTGGAGCTGTAAGTCAGAACAGTCGAACAACAGAGGTGCTGTAAAGACTGTACTCGGATCTGTAGTGAGAGCTGCGGAGGGAGCAGCTGTTCGTGGCTGTAGTAGTAGTAGGAGTAGTAGTCGTCGTCGTCGTCGTCGTCGTCGTCGTCGTCGTCGTCGTCGTCGTCGTCGTCGTCGTAGTAGTAGTAGTAGTAGTAGTAGTAGTAGTAGTAGTAGTAGTAGTAGTAGTAGTAGTAGTAGTAGTAGTAGTGGTAGTGGTAGTAGTAGTAGTAGTGGTAGTAGTAATAGTAGTAGTAGTTTAGTAGTAGTAGTAGTAGTAGTACGAGTAGGACTAGTAGTGGTAGTA